AATTTTGGGAGCAAAATCGCTCATGGCGCAGAAGCCGTTCACGGAGTCGATCTCCCGCGCCGCGAACTCAATGAAAGGCCACAGCGCGAACGCGATCTTCACGGAGCCCCCTGTGGTGACTGGCAGCTCCTCGTCCTCGAACGCCGCGAATCGCTGCTTGTCCGCTGGCACCCCCTCCGCGGCGCGCGCGTTGAACTTGCTCTCGTCGCGCCGCTCCTGCGGGCCATGGAGCCTGTTCGTCTGCTGGCCCTTCCTGTCTTCTGCGCGCCGCCGGTGCGCCGCCCGCTGCGCGGGGCTTCCAGGGGCGGGCCCGCGGAGCTCGCCGTGGACTTGCTGCGGCGTGGCCCAGGCCCCCAGCCGCGCGATCACCGCGTCGACTTCGTCGAGCTGCCCCCGCGCGATGCTAGGCGCGCCCGGGCGGTCTACCTTCCTGCACCTCGCGGGGCGCAGCCCCCCAGCGTGGGCCGCGGTGCTCCTGGGCACGGTGAAGTCCCCGTCGCCAGACCACGGAGCCTGCATCGCGCGGGGCACTTCTTCTGGGATTCATCGCATTACCCGCAGCGGCCATAAAACGCGACGCAACAATTCGCCGCGCCTTTCGGCGCTGTGATTGTGATCACGCGGCAACTGTTCTCTCTGCCCCACTTCCGCCACTCGTGCCTCTCGTGGCCTTCCCTCGCCGTCCGAGTTCCCAGGGGCACCTCCCTCGCTGCTCCGTCGGCTGGTGCTTCGGCGTCTCCCTCCACTTCGATCTTGCCCTCGTGGCCCTCATTTGCGGAATCATCAGATCCCTCGCCCGCGTCGCCACCTTCGCGGCGAGGCAGCGGCGCCGCCGGGCGCAACTGTTTGCGGGGCGGGACGGGTGCGACGCCGCGGTTGGCATCCTGGCGCTGGGATGGGGCGCCCGCGCGCGCCCGCTGAGTAGAGGCAACATGTTCCTTCCGCCCTGCCCGCGCGGCCGCCGCGAGTTCCGGCTCGCCCCCCAGTTTCGTCTTGATGAGGTTGCGCGCGCTCGCCAAGTCATCCACAGACATGTTGGCCCTGCGCTTCACGAGTCTTGCCTTCGCAACTTCTTCTGGCGGGCCCCTGTTTAGGTCATTGTCCACCATGGGCCCGAACTCTTCTTCCTGCGCCTGTTCGTAAGCGACGTCTGCGCGAAGCTCGGGGTCGTCCACCGAAGGAGTGCAAGGGCCCCCCTCTATCCACGAGATCCCCGGGGTCGCCTTGCTTGACATGGCAGGTGCTCGGTCAGGTGCCCCGCGGCGGCCCGCGTGAGGGGGGGGGGGGGGGGGGGGGGGGGGGCATGCAAGGGGGGGTCCGAGAATCTCAGGCTCAACCCGTTTTGGGATCAAACCATTCTGGTCGATGCCCGCACGGAAAAACAAGCATGTCTTAACAATGTTGGTTTCCCTCCTGACCACAGGATCCCAACCGACACCCATGAGGCGTCTGACCTACCGCGCAGGAGAGGGGGGTACTGAGGAGGAAAAAGGAGAGAGGGGAGGGGAGAGATAACAGAGGAGAGAGGAGAGATGAGAGAGGAGGGGGAGGAGGACGAGGACGAGAAGGAGGAGGAGGGGGAGGAGGAGGAGCAAGAGGAGGAAGTTTTCTTTCCCCAGCCATTCCTGTGACAAGCGCTGTCCTTTTAGAAATCCAAAGACGCGGCAATAGCCTCCAATATTGCCTCAAAGTGCTCGGCTGCCCATGAGGGGGAAATAAGAGGAGGAGGAGGAGGAGGAGGAGGAGGAGGAGGAGGAGGAGGAGGAGGAGGAGAAGGAGGAGGAGGAAAAGGGGGGGGGAGGAGGAGGGGGGGGATAGATGTGGTGGGTGGCAATTGGTGCCTGGAATGGTAGGTGGTGGCACGAATGCCTTGAGATGGAGGCACGGGTCACCCCCCCCTACGGCCGTCTTCGTTGGCCGAGGGATCGTAGGGAGGTCCTCGGCCCCGTCCGGTGCCTATTGACGGCAAAATGGAAGGTTGACTGGTGGGGGCGGGAACCCTCGCAACCCCATTGATGGAAGCTGCGCGGGGTGCGAGGCCTAATGACGGCCCTCACCGACGAGGCCTATTGACGGCCCTCGCCGAAGGGAGGGGCGAGAGGGAGGGGGGGCACTCCGAGTGTCGATGCCGCCCGCGATGCCCGCGACGCCTCTCGCTCCTGAGGCGGGATTTCTGCAAATGGGGGCCCACAAACCAGCATGCGCAGTTTCGACTCCGAGACTGTGTATACGCCGCGCGCCCTGGAACCTCCAGGACAACATTTCTCACTGCGCCGACGGACCAGTTTCCGGTCGGTCCCCCGGCGTTTGCGCTCCAGCGTCCGCGGGGCAAACCCAGATCCAACCGCCAACTCGATCGATCGGCGTACCCCCTTGAATTCCCGAGGCAATGGCGTACCCCTTTGAATTCCCGATGCAACGGCGCACCCCCTTGAATTCCTGATGCAACGGGAAAGGCCGGAGCGGGCAGCGGCAGACAACAACCTATGGGGGGGGGGGGCGCAGGGGGGAGGAGGGGGAGGAGAGCGGCGGCACGGGCGCCCAGGCATCTGTTTTGACGGGGGGCACCCCGCTAAAAGGTCACACCGCAAAAACAAGCCTGCGCTCCGCGCCCAGAACGACAGGGGCAGGGGGGGGGGAAGGAGGAGGGGGGAGGGGGAAAGGGGAGATCAGGCAGAACGAGCCTCCCATTGCTCGCATGCCTTCGTGACCCGTGGCCTGGGGGCGCTCACCTGGCTCTGCGTGGCCCGCCGCTTTACGACAGCCGCTGGGAACTCCGCCGCCGTGATGAGGAGCGCGAGTAGCTCGGCGAGCGCGGCCGCCTTCGCGTCCAGGGGGTATGTGAAGGCGCCGGTCGGCGCGATGAGGCCGAGGACGATGGCTCTCTCGGTGGCGTTCGGAGCGAAACTGCGGAGGTGCATGTACGGTGGGCATCGGAAGTCGCCCGAGTAGGACCCGAGATCGAGGGGCGCCGGCCGTGCCGAGACTCTCCCACATGAATCGAGGGAAAGCCGCATGCCCGTCTGTCTCACTCGGGAGCGGGTAGCGTAAAGACGGCCAGGGCGCAATGTGATCCGCTACGCGACGGAGAGACGCAGGTGGCGTGTCTACCGAGGCCTTCCATAGGCATATGTAGTCGTCCATGTACCGGGACTCGAAGATGAGGATGCGGACACCCTCGACGACGTAATGCCGGACTCTGGAGCGAGCAGGCGGCGGGAGGCCGCGCCCACTATAGAGGGAGGCGTGGAACACGACGTCGCAGTAGATAAGCACCATACGGGTGAGGGCTCCGGCCAAAGAGCTGCCAATTGCGAGTCCGTCGGTGGCTCGACCGACGAGCGTGCCCACCGCGAGCCAGAGGTTCGCGAGGCTGTGCTCGATGGCAGCGGCGAGGTCCGCTGGCCGGAAGACCACGTGGAGGGGCGAGGCCCTGGGCGGCTCGAACGGCAGAGTTCGTGCGAATCCGCGCCGGCGCGGGGCGGCGATGGCCGAGATGTTCCGTGCAGCCATGACCTCCTGGTAGAAGGCCCAAGCCCGGCGTGCAAGGCAGCGTGGGATGTTCGCGAAGCAATCGGCGAGGTCGCCCCCGTACTTATGCGCGGGCCCGTGGGGGGCCAGTTCGCTGAAGCGCTCGAGCAACGGCAGCGGCGAGTCGGTGCGCTGCGCGTCGATGTGGAGGTGCTCAGGGATGCCTGTGCCGCTGATCCAATCGATTGCTCGTGCTGCTGGCGACTCGAGGCCCTGTGTCGGCCAGTGCGAACGGTCCACGAGCGGTCGTCGGCTGTCTGGTTTTTCTCGTTTCTTGTTTGGGGCCGACGCCGACGCCATGCGCCAATGGCGAAGGTTAGACAGGCGAGCGGGTTGGAGATCGGCCGCGAGGCCAGGGACGGAGGCCACCTGCTGGAGCACGGCTTCGGCTGCCAAACCCGGGCGGTGCACGAAGTGCAGGTTCTGCCCCGCGATGCCGAACAGGGCCGTGCAGAGCAACTGCACTCGGCGGGGGCACTCAGCTACGAGCACGTGCTTGGTCTTCTGAAATTCTTCGACGACGAGGCCGCGTGTGAGTGGCCGGCCAGCGCGAATGACCGACTCCGGTACGGGGTCGAAGTCCAACGGGAGGCGCGGCGCGTCGTAGTCGAAGGCAATGGAGGAGGAGGAGGAGGAGGAGGAGGAGGAGGGGGGGGGAGGAGGAGGAAGAAGGGGGGGGAAGAGGAGACGTGGCCCAAGACGAGGCTAGACGGCTTCGTCAGCATCGCCCAGGAGGACTCGCAGAAGCACCAGCCACGGTTGAAGTACTGCTCCGTGTTGCCCGACTGGGTGTACTTTGCAGCGTCGCCGTAATCATCTGGAAACCGCGTCAGCATGAAGACGACAGTGGCGGGGTGGGAGTAGAAGCTCCCCAGGCTCCCCAATGCCTCCTTGAAGAGCGCATGCTCCAGCTCGAAGCGGCCGGGGGCATCGTCCTCGAAAGAATATGAGCCTTCGAGCCGCTGGTGGGCGCGCTGCTGGGGAACGCCCTCGCGGCCCCTACAGCTTTGATGGATGCAGCAGAAGTCCATGAATACACACCCCAGCGGTCCGTGAAATCGCCCGGCAGCAGCTGCAGGGCCTGGCCCAAGATGCGCAGGTTGTGCCCGCGTGGATCCGGGTGGCTCGCCTGCAGCCAGCAGTGTGATATGCGCGCGATGCGCAGCAAGGGCACCAAGGGCGTGGCGGCCTTGACGGCGCTGTGGGGCATGAAGGCCGTCGGCGGCAACGCCTGGCGCGGCTCGAGGGCGCCGCCAGCGCGCGCTCGCCTCGCCATCCACTCCGAGTCCATCAGGACGACCGCTCCACTGTCGAGCACGGGGTCGAGCTCCAGGCCGCCGCAGCTCCCCCAGGAAACAGAGGAGGAAAATGAAGAGGAGGAGGAGGAGGAGAAGAGAGAGGGGGGGGGAGAGAGGAGAGAGGACAGAGGAGGACAGAGGAGGAGGAAAAGGAGGAGGAGAGGAGGAAGAGGAGGAGGAGGAAGAGGAGGAAGAGGAGGAGGACAGAGGATTCGGAGGAGGAGGAAGAGGAAGAGGAGAAGGAGGAGGAGGAAAATGGGGAAGAGGAGCAAGAAGAGGAGGAGGAGGAGGAGGGGGAGGAGGAGGAGGTCTCTAGACCGACGGGGCCTCGAAGCCGGTCGCGCGGAAGCGCTGGCGCGGCGGCGCTAGGCGCTCCCACTTCGCCAGCAACTCGGTAGCGTGCTTCAAAAGGCGCCAGCGCAAAGGCGCAATGACTTCCCAATGCGCGAGTGGCCCGCCGGGCGGGCTCTGCCGGCGACCATGGCTCAGGTGCCGCGTCGGCGGCGCTGGTTGGACCCGCGGCGCGGGGTCGCATCGCGCGCAGGGCTTGCCGGGGCACTTCGCTCGAACCAGTCGTTCTGGATGAAGCTCGGGTTCGTGAGCGCGTCGATCGCCGCGTCGATCATTGGCTTGACTGCCCCAGCGGTTGTCCTGATCACGCTGCGCTTCTGCTTCGCAGTGAACGCCAAAACTGCAGCGAGGCGCATCAGCTCAAGCAATAAAGCGGGGTCATCGCTCACGGTTGTGTCGGAGAAGTACTTCTCCAGGCCCGAGACGAGCATGTTGGCCGCCGCCCCTTTGTCCGTGGAAAACATTATGCTCGCGCGCGGGAACGTGGCCCCCCCGGGCGGCGTGTCGAAGAGCTTCGCCATGCTGGTCTCCTTGAGGTCCGAATCTTGGATGACCTTGTAGAGCACTTGAAGTGCCTTCTTGAAAGTGCCGCTGATCGTGCTGCCGTCCCACGACTCGCAGGGCAGCCCGAGGGCGTCGAACACCTCGCGAGCGGCATTGAGCACCGCTGGCTTGTCGGGCGTCGCTTTAAGGCCCGCATGGGTGGCCGACCATTTAGCGAGCTGCGCGGCCTCCATCGACGCCAGCGCATCCTTGGGGAGGCCCAAGTATTCGTTCATGTCGTTCGCTCCTGTGGATGCGACTCCAAGCGCGCTCGTGATCGACCCCGTCATGCCAGCCGTGGCCTGCGCGATCAGCCCGAGGATGCTTGGGTCGTTCACGCCGGGCGCCGACAGAACAGGCGCAGCGGCCTCGGCTGTGCTCGCCGCGCGCATCGTGTCCTCGCTCAGGTCAACGACCTCCGCTGGGTCGACGCTGAGGATCATGCCCGAGCGGCTGTCCACGCCCTCCGTGATAGCGCCCAGGGTGGGCGAAAACTTGCGTTTGACGCCCTTGGAGTCTTCCACCGCCAATGCGAAGGCCTGTTCACCCTTGTCGCCGGTGGTCTCGACCCCGAGAACGACCTCCACCGTTTGGGCAATCATATTGGCGGCTTCCTCTTGCGTCGTACTGTCCGTGAGTTGCCCAATCCCGACGGTGGCGGCTGACCGCGAGAGCTTGAACGCCGCTGACCCCTCGTTGACAGCCGCAAAGCTCCTGCCGTAGGCCCGCGCCACCGGGCCGTGGATCGGTCTCCACTTTTGCAACTGTTTTTGCAACGAGGCTACCACATTCACATTCTGTTTCGACTACCAGTCGGCGCCGTACCGGCCTGCTTCGAATTCGTAGACCACCGTCGAGATGACGCCGATGGCCGACTTGAGTGCTGCCTGCTGGGCCGTCGTCTGGAGGGCTTGTAAGCCCTCGGGCAGGCGGGATAGAACACCCGGATGCGAGAGCTGGGGGGCCGTCGCCACGGCCTTGCCAGCGGCGGCGACGAGGAGCAGCTCCGCGGAGACCGCAGTGACTGCAAACAGATCGCTCCGGACGTGCGTCGCTACATTTTCATACGCCCGCATCAGCTGCCTGTTGAGCACGCTCCCCCCGGCCCGACGCGGCTTGCACGATGCGTCGGGCTCGGTGTAGACCCAGGAGGAGAAGCCAACGACATTCGTGTCGCCGAAGATGATGCGGCTTGCACGATACGTCGGGCTCGGTGTAGACCCAGGAGGAGAAGCCGACGACATTCGTGTCGCCGAAGGTGAACTGCTGCTTGAACCCGAAGCGCAGATGGTAGGCCTTCGACTCAACCTCGGAATTCAATTCGCGGAAGGACTTGTTTCCGAACGACGTCATCGCGTCGGGGCCGGATTCCGTGTAGTCTCCAGCAATTTGGGAGAGGGCTACTTGCAAGGAGTCGCCGATGGCCTTGGAGAGGACGTAGAAGGCGCGGAGGAGGAGGAGGAGGAGGAGGAGGAGGAGGAGTGGGAGGGGAGGAGGAGCAGGAGAAAGAAGGAGGAGGAGAAGAAGATGGCGGGCACCAGGCGAGACAAACATGCATCCGGAATGTGTCCCTGCACCGCGTCGAATGCACCACAGAGATTGCACAACGTATAATGCACGCCATAGGTTGCTGAGGGTGGCGGAGCTGAGCCCGAGAGGGCTAAGGTATGTTCGACTGTGTGGGGCTGTGCCCCCCCCTTTTTTTTGTTTCTCTCTCTCTCTCTCTCACTCTTTCTGTCTGTCTCTCTCTTTTTTTTTCTCTCTCTCTCTCTCTCTCTCTCTCTCTCGCTCGGCCCCCATCTGCAAACAGTTTTATTTTTTTTTTTTTTTTTTTTTTTTTTTTTTTTTTTTTTTTTTTTTTTTTTTAAAAAAAAAAAAATAATAATATATATATATATATATATATATATATATAATATAATATATATATATATATATATATATATTATAAGTATGTATACATACACATATACATATATGTGTATAGATATATACATGCATATGTGTATGTATATATATATATATATATATATGTATGTACATATATTCGATTCCGCAATCCCGGAAAACTTGCGTATATTAAAAAACCTCTCTCCCTCCCTCCCTGCCTCCGTGTCTCCCTTCTCCCTCCCCATCCCTCCCCCCCCCCCTCCTTCCCCCCCCCTCCCTCCCTCCCCGCGGAGAGGGGCAGAGACGAGGGAGGGGGGAGGGAGGGAGATAGGGAAAACATGTCCCATGGCAAGGGCGACGGGCCAGAAATATGCGTGGCCCGTCTCGCTCTGCTGCCTCCCACGGCCGCGGGGGCTCGTTTCGGAGCGAACCATAGTCGCCCCTTGTAGTGCTTCTATGCATTTCTCAAGGCAGGGGCGGCGGGCCAGGAATATTTGTGGCCTGTCGCGCTATGCTGCCTCGGTCGCGGGGGCTCGCTTTCGAGCGAGCCATACGCGCGCCTTGTCGCCATGTCGCGCCCCGCCCGCGACCCACCCCGCGACCCACCCGCGACCAAAATTACGTTCAGGGTACAAACCAACATATTCGGCACCTGCGGCGGGCTTCTTTTGCATTCGATCCAGGTGGATAAGACCCACCCGCGACCCACCCCCGCGACCCACCGCGCGACCCACCCGCGACCCACCCGCGACCCAAATCACGTTCAGGGTGCAAACCAACATTTTCCGCGCTTGCGAGCTTCTTCTGCATTCGTTCCAGGTGGGGAACCTGACGGATGCTCGATGGTCTGGGCCGGTCTGGGCGCCCTTGGCCATCCTCGGGCCCAGCTTTGCCGTCCTTGCATTCAAGAGGCCGCGACCCAAAGGATGCGCGACCGCGCAAGGTACTTGAGCACATCCTTGGGCACGTTTTCCATACCTGTGTTCATCCTTGGGCCCTTGTCCTCCTCATCCTCCTCCTCCTCCTCTTTCCACTCTCCTCCTCCTCCTCCTCTTCCTCCTCCTCCTCCTACTCCGTTCCCTCCTCCTTATTCGCTTCCTCCTCCTCCTCCTCTTTCCACTCTCCCTCCTCCTCCTCCTCCTCCTCCTCCTCCTCCTCCTCCTCCTCCTCTATCTCCGTTCCGTCCTCCTTCTCCTCTTCCTCCTCCTCCGTTTCTTCCTCCTCCCTCTACCCCCCCCGCCCCGCCCCTCCCCCTCTTCCTCCTGTTCCTCCTTCTCCTCCTCTTCCTCTCCTCCTCCTCCTCCTCCTCCTCCTGCTCCTCCTCCTTCTCATTCTCCTCCTGTTCGTCCTCCTCGACCTCCGCCCCATGGGGTTTTCGATGTTTCAAGTTTGCTTTCAACATGTTTCAACATGTACAGGAAGAGCTTTGTAAGGGAGCTAAAGGAATGAAGTGTGATGGTGATCGAGGAGCAGTGTCGAGCAGGGGGTTGTTGTTGATGATGAGGAGGCGGGGGAGGCGTAACCAGAGGATCGTGATTGATAGGAGAGGGGGGAGGAAAACGAAGAGGAGGAAGAGGAAGAGGATGAAGGCATCAACAAAGGAAGGTTATGGAGGCGGGGTGAGGAACGCGAGTTGCTGCGCAGGATACTTGCTGCGTAGGAAAACGGCGGGGGGGGAGTCCCACCAGCCCTTTAGGGCAGGGCGTAGGTGGTCTAGAGCGTTTCCTCTGCCAACCCCCTTCGTTCCCTTCGGGGAAGGGTTTACCCCTCCCCGTATCCTTCCCCATCGACCTGGACGAGGGGTTCCGCGGGTCGTTGGGACGTCCAGGTTGGCCCAAGACAGCTCCAAGAGCGGAAGAGCGAAAAAAGCACAAGCATTGATTTTCCTCAAGTTTTGGAAAGATGTTGGCCTCTTGGGGGGTCCCCCTGCCGGTCCCGAGGTGATCCGCGTGCCTGCCTGCCTCCCTCTACCGCCGTCACCACCGCCTCCCCGCTCTCCCATCCCGCTCGCCTGTCCCATGTGTCTCCCTCTCTTTTGACACGTGCCCATTGTGAATACCTATACGACCACCCTTCGGGTGATAAGGAGCTTCGGGGGGGGAGGAACCAACGTCTCACTCGATCGGTCTCACTATCGATTTCACTATCGATCTCACTATCGGTCTCGCTCGATCGATCTCAGTCGATCGATCTCACAGTCGACCTCACTCGATCTGTTTCATTCGATCGATCTCACAATCGATACGACGATCGATCTCTCAATCGATCGCACGATCGATCTCACGATCGATCTCACAATCGATCTCACATTCGGTCCCACGATCGACCTCACTATCGATATCACAATCGCTTTCACAATCAACGTCACCATCATCATGCACAACACCATCGTCATCAACGTCACCAACATCATCACTATCATCATCGCAATCATCATCATCGGGCAACCATCATCATCATCATATCATCAGCATATCATCATCAACATCATCATCACCCTCATCATCATCGGAACACCATCATCGTCACCCTCATCATCGTCATCAACATCATCATCATCTGGAGCCCATCATCATGATCGGGCCACCACCACCACCATTATCACCATCATCATCATCTCGCCATCATGAACGACGTCATCAACATCATCATCACATCATCATCATGGGGACACCATCACCATCATCAACAACCTCATCATCATCATCAACATCATCATCATCGGGACACGATCATCATCGTCACCATCATCATCAGCACCATCATCATCACCATCGGGACACCATCATCATCATCAACATCAGCAACATCATCATTGCCATCGTCGGGCCACCATCATCAAAATCATCATCATCACCTCGTCATCATCATCAACAACATCGCTATCATCATCGGAACACCATCATCACCATCATCATCATCATCATCATCAACAGCATCACCATCAACCTCATCATCATCATCGGGAAACCATCCTCAGCATCATCATCACCTCAATATCATCTCATCATCACCATCATCGTCCGCAGCATCATCGGGACACCATCATCATCACCACCACCATCCTCGTCATCAACATCAACATCATCATCGGGACACCATCATCATCACCACCACCATCACCATCATCATCAACATCATCGCCAACATCATCATCTGCATCATCATCCTCGTCATCATCATCATCGGGGCACCATCATCATCACCCCCATCACCATCCTCATCAGCATCACCGACATCATCCTCATCATCAACATCATCATCAGCATCATCATCAACACCACCATCATCATCATCATCATCATCATCATCATCATCGGGACGCCGACGGGGCACCGGCGGGGCGCCGCGCGGCACCGGCCCCCGGAAAGGAAACATTTGGTCCGGCCGCGCCTCAGCCGGGGGCGGGGCACTGGCGGGGCCCCGCGCGGCACCGGCCCCGGGAAAAGAAACATTTGGTCCGGCCGCGCCTCAGCCAGAGGAGACTTTCTTCTCGCCAGCCCACGCGGCTTCGCCTCGCCCGCGCGCGCGCGGCACGCGCGAACACGAAACCGACGCCGATTTCCCGGTAGGGGGGCTCTCCGTGCCACTTCGATCTCACCCCTAATCTCCGACTGCTCCCCTCTCGCCCCCGAGTCTGTCCGGGAGATGCTCGGCCCTCTCCGCGTGCTGTTTTGTCGCACAATTACCCCGTGACGTACCCAACCATTACTATACATGTGGCGATTCTACTCAGGACAGCTCGATGCCGACTGGCTTTCTGAAAGGGCCCGCAGCGCGCAAGAAGAGCGCCCGGCAGCGATTTCAGAAGAGCGCAGCAAGAAGAGGAGAGGCAACTATACCACATGGGAACACAGGGGCGTTGAAAGAAACGCGTATGACGTACCTCCGAATGATCCACGTGGGGCGCACTTCCGCTGGGCCTCCCAGGAGCCCACGACAGTGGCAGCGGTTGCGCAGATCGCAAGCCCCCAGGGGGCGGCGAGGTCCTGAGGTGATCCGCGTGGGACCCACCTCCGCCGGGCCTCCCAAGAGCCCGCGAAAGCGGCAGCAGTTGCGAAAATCGCAGGCCCCCCGGCGAGGTCCCGGATTGACTCGCGTGGGACCCACCTCCGCTGGGCCTCCCATGAGCCCACGTGGCGACAGCTGCGCAGATCGCAAGCCCCCAGGGCACCGCGAGGTCCCGAGGTGATTCGCGTGGGGCCTACTCCGCTGGGCCTTCCAGGAGCCCGCGAAAGTGGCGACAGTTGCGCAGATCGCAAGCCCCCTGGAGGCAGAGAGGTCCCGAAGTGATCCGCGTTGGACCCGCCTCCGATGGGCTTCCCAGGAGCCCGCGAAAGTGGCGACAGTTGCGCAGATCGCAAGCCCCCCAAGTGGCGGCGAGGTCCCGAGGTGATCCGCGTGGAGCCCACCTCCGC